CTGTTGCCTGGAATCCAACATCATACACTCATCAAGGGATACAGGGGAAACTTCTGAGAAAACAAGTGTGCACATTATAAAGAAGAGGAACCGTTGTGGAATCTATAAGCTAGAAATGCTGCTGTTCAGCTCCTGCCAGTATACGAACTTGTTGACGGTGAAAAGGAACTGAATCATCTGCAGCCTTCCTTACACACGTAAGAGAAGATCAGCTGTCCTACCAGTGAATTTCAAAACACTGTTCAAAAGTAAACTTTGGAGAATGATTGATGTCTTCCACCTTGAAAAGACCAAAGCTTTTGTTTTTCCCCTCCAGCAGAATACAAGTATCTCTCAGGGAAGCCAGGGGCAGTCATTAGCATGCTGTGGCGAAGAAGCAGGCATCTATTGGGCAAGAAGGGACCAGGGCCTCTACAAGGTCAACCAGCTATTCAGGGTAAGTGTTCCCCAATATCTATTTACTTTAGCTACAAGGCTGCCTGTAGAATATTTGTGTTGCATAAGATATGCCTCTGAAGATCTCTAGTTTATTTGGTTCAGCCTTCCTCGGTGAGGCAGCAGAAAGGGGGAAAGAACGGGTCAAAGACAATTTTTGTGTCACCTTTGTGACCTCTTGAGCTGCAACTGCCCAAGGACTTTCTTGGTCACTGGGCTATCTGACTTTGCTGCCAACAGGCTGTAAGGGATTGTTCCAGAAGCCAGTGCTGCAGGTCTCTTTACACCATTTACCTTTGCCTCTAATGCAAAGAAATGACCAGCTAACTGTTAATGGCTCTCTGGCTGCCTGGCTTCACAGCTAGGCCTATAAACTAAATCCTACATACTAAAATCCTCTACCAATTCAATGTAACCAGACTTTTAAACAGTACAATAAACTAATCAATCTGTATATTAATGGAGGTTCGAAAGTAAAGGATCAGAATACAACATTTATACTTAGCAACTCTCTCTATAAAGCTAATTTCATATTAATCACTTTCATATAAAAATGGAATAGTTCTTGCCTTTCTGTTTCAGATATTTTCTACAGCAGTTGAAAGAAAACAAGCTAAGCCAGCAGTCTGGCACGCTGGGAACACTGGCACATGGCACCACTGCTGATAAAAGCTGCTTTAGAGTTGGTGAATGCAGCGCTGTAGCAGAGTGACATTTACCAGCTAAAACACTGAAAGCATAGCTCACAGCTTCACTGGGATTAAATGTCAGGCCACTAGTTAGAACAAAGATGAATGAAGCAGAAAACTTGCAGTTTTGCTCATAAATATGTAAACATACATTTGCTGTGTATCTTTAATGAACAAGTATTTGAGTACTGCTTATGTTCCCAAATCACAACAAATCAAAGGGAGGGCAACAAAAACTTAGTAGAAAGTGGAAAACTAATGTGAGATTTGCTTTGTGTAAGAAACTGTCAACACCTGCTGTTCTCCTTAATGACTTCCACAGAGATTGGCCTTTGCCACCTGGGCAAGAGCAGAAAAACTGCCCAGCTTTCTGGGCTTGGGCAGGCTCG